CTAGAACCTTATCTAAAGGGAAGAATCGGGGAAATGTAGAAATTTATGTTCATGATAATATTTAAAAATTTAAAAGAGGGGTGCTGGGATAGCTCAGTGGGTTAAAGCCTCTGCCTTCAGCTCAGGTCATGATCTCAGGGTCCTGGGATTGAGCCCCGCATCGGGCTCTCTGCTCAGCAGGGAGCCTGCTTCCCCTTCTCTCTCTGCCTGCCTCTCTGACTGCTTGTGATCTCTGTCTGTCAAATAAATAAATAAAAAATCTTAAAAAAAAATTAAAAGAATCTAAATGAGTAACAGTAATGCTTGCATATATATAGCATGGTATCTCCAAAAGACAATGTTACATGGTCCTTAATAATGTTACTTTTGGGGTGCCTGGGTGGGTTAAAGCCTCTGCCTTCAGCTCAGGTCATGATCCCAGGATCCTGGAATCAAGCCCCGCGTCAGGCTCTCTGCTCAGTGGGGAGCCTGCTTCCTCCTCTCTCTCTGCCTACTTGTGATCTCTGTCTGTCAAATAAAAAAAAAAAAATGTTACTTTTGAAAGAATATAATGAAATAGGATAATGTATATAATATAATTTTAAATGGAAAAAGCAAAATATAAAACAATTTAATTCCACTCTAATTAAATATGTATACACAGGTGTGTATCTCAGCTGTACACACACATGCATAAAACAAATGAAAGAAGAGAACAAAATATTAACAATGGTTTATTTTGATAGAAACTTATAGATACTTATTTATTATTCTATTCTTCACATATTATACTTTTTTCCAAATTATGTTGAATAAATGTATTACTTGTATAGTCAGAGAATTACTAAAATCTTTTTCCTTTAGATAGCAGGGTTATAAATATTTTGCTTTACTTTTTTCAGTGTGAAGGAAATCATTTTTTAATTTTATGATTTCAAAATTTTTACACACTAAATTATATGGCTTTTAAAGACTTATTTAGTTTCATTGTTTTTTTTTTTTCCATTTCATGCAATGCATGCCCTCCATAGTACCCACCACCAAGCTCACCCAGCCCCACCTCCCTCCCCTCCAAAACCCACAATTTGTTTCTTAGATTCCACAGTCTCTCATGGTTTGTCTCCCCCTCCAATTTCCCCCAATTCACTTCTCTTCTCCATCTCCCCGTGTCCTCTGTGTTATTCCTTATTCTCCACAAGTAAGTGAAACCATATAATAATTGACTCTCTCTGCTTGACTTATTTCACTCAGCATAATCTCTTCCAGTCCCATCCATGTTGATACAAAATTTGGGTATTCATCCTTTCTGATGGAGGCATATTACTCCATTGTATATATGGACCATATCTTCTTTATCCATTCATCTGTTGAAGGGCATCTTGGTTCTTTCCATAGTTTGGTGACTGTGGCCATTGGCTGCTATGAACATTAGGGTACACATGGCCCTTCTTTTCACTACATCTCTATCTTTGGGGTAAATACCCAGTAGTACAATTGCAGGGTCATAGAGTAGCTCTATTTTTAATTTCTTAAGGAATCTCTACACGGTTTTCCAATATGACTGTACCAACTTGCATTCTCACCAACAGTGTAAGAGGGTTCCCCTTTCTCCACATCCTCTCCAACACATGTTGTTTACTGTCTTGTTAATTTTGGCCATTCTAACTGGTGTAAGGTTGTATCTCAATGTGGTTTTGAATTGAATCTCCCTGATGGCTAATGATGATGAACATTTTTTCATGTGTCTGTTAGCCATTTGCTTGTCTTCCTTGGAGAAGTGTCTATTCATGCCTTCTGCCCATTTTTTTGGCATGATTATCTGTTTTTTGTGTGTTGAGTTTGAGGAGTTCTTTACAGATCTTGGATATCACCCCTTTGCCTGTAGTGTCATTTTCAAATCTCTTCTCCCATTCTGTGGGTTGCTTCTTTGTTTTGTTGACTGTTTCCTTTGCTGTGCAGAAGCTTTTGATCTTGATGAAGTCCCAAACGTTATAAAAAAGTAGCAAGGCAATAGATAATAACCAATTAGAGTTTTCAATACAATTGTGATTCTTTTGTAATTTTTTTGCATCTCATGGCTTAGAAATTACCTTATTTATAAAACTCTTGAAATCCTTTGACTTAATACCATAGATTGCAATTATTAGGGAAGTGATTTGAAGGCAACAATAATTTCATTTGGAGAGGATGTGGGTTTGAGTAAAAGGTAATGTCTTCCTATTAAACATTTTAAACGTAAAAGGCCATTCATTTTTCTTTTAAGTAGCATTTTAAAGCTTTATTTCATGTCTTTTGGGTAGAAACCATTATTTTCTTTGTATCTTGCATTAGTGCACTGTCATTTCTCAATAGTTTATTTGCCACTTCCACTTTTTCTGTGTGTGCTAAATATATATTAACATTTTAATTTAAATAAATAGCATAGGACTTTTTTTTTAAGCATTTATTTTTGAGACTTTGGGCTTGTTTAGGCACTTCTGCAGATAGAGCCTGAAAAAAGTTATCTATGACTGGAGTTGAAGGGGACCCAAATTTATCTCATTCAACCCCTGAAGTTCATGTCCCTTTGCTTGAGTACTTCTGGAAACAGGGAACTCACGATTTCACTAACTTAAACCATTTCAGTTAAGTTTTTCTTTATATAATAGGATAAGTGATATGAATTCAGGAATTGGACTTTTTCATTTTTTTATTCTTTAAAAGATTTTATTTGTTTATTTGAGAGAGAGTATGAGAGAGAGAGTGAGCACAAGCAGTGTGGAGGGGCAAAGGGAGAGGGAGAAGCACACTCCCCAATGAGCAGGGAGCCCAATGTGGGACTTGAGCCCAGGACCCTGGGATCATTACCTGGGCTGAAGGCAGACACTTTACCGACTGAGCCACCTAGGCGCCCCAGAGACTAGATTTTTAATCTTTATGCAAATTTTATTTTTATAGCAATGACTGAATTAAAATTCCTTTTTTTTTTTTTTTTTCCCAAAATAAGCTTTTTTGTATTTCCTTCCCCCACAGTCTGAAGTGGGGGAAGCAAGTGACAGAAGGCTTATTAGAAGAGATGATATTTAAGCTGAGACTTGAAAGTTGAATAAGATTTCTTCAGATAAATTGAGGATAGGACATTGAGGGTGGAAGAAGATTATACTGTTATAACTAACAATATATAATTGTTAATTCATTGATCATGAATAAGGTGCTCAAATGTGTTTTATTTAGGTCTTGGATTTAAGGAAGTATTTACAGAAAAAAAAAAGAGAGAGAGAGAGAGAGAGATAATTGAAAATAAACCAGTAAATGGGATTAGTTTTGTCAGCATTTCATATAATTTATGAAGACTATTCTTTTACTCCTGAAAATCTGTTTCTAAATATTTAGTGAACTAAGGCTTATACGTTTCACACAGCTATATATTTCTCATACAGATAAATGCTTTTTTGTTCATTCATTGCTTAGGCTGTTGTATCAAATTTTTTTAAAAATGCTTGCAACATTACTTAGAGTAAAAATCGATTCAATCATTGATCATCTATTATGTGCTAGAGAAAGTGTGATTATGTGCATGATAGGTGAAGGAAGGGGTGCTGTGAGAGACTATAAGCAAATGCACCTACTACTATCTGGGGTGAGGGACCAGGAAGAGAAATCTTAATAGAGATGAAGACCTGAGAAGTGAATAAGATTTATTCAGATAATAGGAAAAAATATGTTGGGGATTAGAGTAGAACATGGAGAGTATATTCCAGATAAAGAGGGTAATGTATTTAAATATGTCTGTTAAAGACGAAGCTGTGAACAATAATAGCTATAGTAAAATCTATCGATTATTGAATGATTATTATTATCATCATTATTATGTCACTGTTCCAGGCACTTTACATCTTTAAGCTTTATAACAACCACATAAAGGAGCTATTATTATTATTATTCTACTTTTATTGCCTGGATATAACTGTCCATTATCAATGCTGTTATATATAGTTCTCTTCTCTTGATCTAAATTTTGAAGCTTTGGTATTATTTTATTTTGGTTTCAGTGAGCCAGAAGTGGCCTCTAGGCATGTTTTAGTAAAAAGACCAAAAAAAAATTATGACATTTTAGCTTGTTGTTAAAAAGAATAATTTACTAAAACATGGTATACATGGGTATTCAGTTTATGACTGGCTATTAAAAAGAACTTATTATTTCAAGCTTAAAAGAGATATGGGGGCTAGAGAAGAAGGTAATCAATGCTGCAAAAAACCCAATAAGACAAATCCATATTGTAACACATTCTAGAAGATAACTAGCCTGGACTCCTCAATAAAGTCAATATCATGAAAGAGAAAAGAACAAAGAGACTCTAGATTCAGCTACATGGAAAGTGACATAACAACGAAATGTAATGCATGCATTTTTAATGGATTATGGATTTTAAAAACTATAAAAGATATTTTGGGGACGACTGGAATAGTTTGATGGTGGACTAGGTATTAGATGGTGTGAAATATTAACACTAGTTTTCTTAGGTGTGATAGCAGTATTGTGGTTATTATTGTCGGAGAAGGTTCTTATTAGAACATGCATGGTGAAGTATTTAGGACTGAAATGTCTTGTTTGGAAAAATCACAATATAATAATTCCTATAAAATTTCATTTTTTACTAGGTTATTAATGGGATTTCTGAGTATCAAATATTTACAAAATGCTTAAAAGTAATTTACCTTTTTATTACGTGCTATTTTTTCTTATAATATGAGTTGTTGATTTTTTTTTTTTTCTAATCTCATTGCCATCCTTCCCCCTAGAACATAAGTTTTATGAAGACTGAGACCTTCTGTTCATGGCTTAGTTCACAGCACTAAGGGTAGTATCTGGCACATAGTAGGCAATAATCAATATTTGTTGAGTGAACTAATGAATGAAGTTAACCAATCTCAACCAACCTCACCATTTCTATATAACTCATAATAGCTTTAATTTTTTAAAAAATTAGTTTTGGTATTATTAACCAGAAACAATAATAAGTTATTTTTTTATATTTCAGGGAAGTTGGGAAAAAAGAATTTTGAAGAGTTTAAATAGCATGTGCACTGAACTGAGTATCCCATTGGCACGAAAGGTAATTTTAATATTTAAGTATTTTATTGTGAATCAAATACTAGGAGTACCATGAAGTTGTAACTGTTAGGCAGTTGTTTTTTTTTAACCAGTATACCAGTTTATATTGAAACAAAAATCTGTAAAAGGCCACTTACGTGGGTATATTCTATATAGATTTCTATTACATATATTGTAATGCTTTTTGTAATGAACATATCTTGAGAATAAATAAAAATACAATATATAATCTACATATAGATTATTTAGAAATCTGGTTATAAAGGTTATAAGTGTTATAAATGGTCTTTAAGAATTTTACTTACCTTTGGTCTCCTTTTGGCTAATTAGCACAATAACCATATTTTTTGAATCGGAGATGGGGTTGAGGCATACTATCATCTTGTAATAGCCAGTATGGTACCATCTTTCAGTATTAACATAGAGAATGGAATGATGATTTTTCATTTCTCTGTTGAACTATTTAGTTCTAATAATAGTATTATTAGATCTAATTCTCAACATTTATCTGTCACTGTCACCACCGGTGCGACCACACAAGCAGGGTCGAGAGGGTAAGAGAATGGAGAGAGAGTAAGACATGTAAAGAAATGAGGACAGGAGGGACACAGTGGATGATGTCCAAGCAGTGCCAATTTTATTCAAGGCTGTGAGGCATTATATAGCTAACAGAAACAATTATAAGGAAGGATCTATTTTTGGTTGATTGCTCATACACACATAACATTCACATGAAACCCCTTAAGCTTTTACGAAACCCATTTCCCAAGCGCTGGTAGCGGATCTTCTGACGCCAGTAACTTTTGTTTACTTAGCTAATCTTTAACTAGCAATTCACTAGCTTACAATGGTGCAATTTATAATTCGTGCAAGTACAGGGTAATCTTGTAACAGTTAAACGTACAACCCAGTTTTGCCTCTTAATACATGCAGGCAGTCACGTCAGCGAGTCTTAGGGTCCATAGCTCAGGCTCTTTCTCAAGTGCAACTCAACTGATATTCAGGAGGCACGAGTCAGGGCCTGGTTTGATCCCTCGCCTCTAGCTGAGTCCGTGGCTGCATACATGTCACTATGGGTTTTGAGCGGGGAGAGATAAAGAGGAAAAGAAAAGCCACCTGAAGAATGCTCAAGATTCTTTCTGACAGCTCCTGAATAGGAAAACACAAGTTTCTCTTCACTTTATTCTCCCTACCTGCTATTTATTCCTTGTTGTGGGACAGGATATAGTGGATGAACTTTGGGTAATACCCAAGGACAAGTCACTGAAGGCACCAGAAGGATGGTGTAAAAAGCAGATAAATTTATATGGATTATAAAGTTCTCCATATAAAGTTGAAGTATATAGTATTGGGCAATATACTGTCTTTCATATAGGAAGATGATGCTACTGACTCGGAGTCACACTGTCTTTGCCAGTCCCCCTTATGATGCCTTTCTGAGGTTGCTAGATGGGGTAAGAGATGGAGTATGTGGCTGAGGAGCAGTATTTCTTTGTGAAATTTACTGTCCAGTAGAGATCATTTACCTTCTTTTTGGGGGGCTCATTAGTATCACGTTCTACCTGAGCCATTCAGACTAGATATAATAGTTAAATAACAGTAATTTAAGAGTAATTCCAAAAAAAGTTCTCCGTATGTAGTAAAATTATTTTTTTCTTATGTTATGGTAGCTTATTCAAACTTTTCGGTAAGTTATTGGTTCTTATTTTTCAGCTGCATTGCTAAACTTCACAAAATGAAACCAATTTTAAAATTACCTTTTTTAGAGGCCAGTTGGAGAACAGAAAGAACTTCTCAATAAATGGAATGAAATGGGAACTGATGAACCAGGTATACGAACAACTTTTTGCAAAATGTGGTAGTAGGAAACAAATTGCGCTCTTAATTCTGGGTCCAAAATAACAATGTTAACAATTCTTTTGGAAAGAGAGCAATTTTCCTTCCCTGCTAATTCCTATCCTCTACTTTTATTGCTTAAACTTCTACTTTGCAATTTAAAAATTCCTAACTTTGACCAATGTTTTGCCTTATTTCAAGAGTATTTAAATCAGTTATCCATTTTTAAAGCAGCATTTGAAAACATCTTTATAGAAAAGTAGATTAAATCTTTCAGTGGATTTCTTAGACTCATAATTAAGGTAAATATTTTTCAGGCTTTAAAGGTAGGTTAAATGGTGAAAAGTTTTGAAACTTCTAAATGTTTTTAAGTATTTTGGTTTATTTTAATGTTAAAATGGAATCAATCAATTTTATAAACATATGAGTGACAACTATGTCTCATTTATTATGATAAACAGATGTATATAATTGTATAGATAGACATGTACATAATCCCTTACCACTCCTTTATTTCCTTATTTTTTTTTAAAGATCTTATTTATTTATTTGTCAGAGAGAGGTAGAGAGAGAGGGAGCACAAGTAGGGGGAATGGCAGGCAGAGAGAGAAGCAGGCTCCTTGCTGAGCAAGGAGCCAGGTGTGGAACTCGATCTCAGGACCCTGGGATCATGACCTGAGCCAAAGGCAGACACTTAACCAACTGAGCCACCTAGGCGTCCCACCACCACTCCTTTAAAAATAAGTGTGGGAGACTGGGCAAGAAATAAGTACCCTACTAGAGGAGCAGTGTGTTATATAAGTTCAAAAGGGAGAACAGTTCAATACAACTAGAGGAATTCACTAAGAAAGTATTATTTATGTTCTATGTACTTTGAGAATTCTCATATAGAACTTTTATGTTATATTGACATTGTTTTTTCAATTCAGTTATAAATTTATTACAGATTTATGAAGGGCAGTCTCTTAATTTCTTTCAGCATATGTCATCTTAGGCTGTTAAGGGAAGGGACTGCCTTTTCATTTTTGTGTTCCCAAAACTTAAGACAATGAATGACAAATTGTCAATACTCTACAAGTCTGAATTAACCTAGCTGCATTGTAACATATGAAAGAGTCATTAACATTTTTTATTAATAACCATTCATATGTTGTATTGAAATTTTGTTCTAATCTATTTTATTAATTCCAGATTTAAGCCTTTTCAGACCTGTTTATGCACCAAAGGATTTTCTGGAGGTAGGTTATATTGGATCAATATAGGTATATTAATGAGGGTAAAAGAGGAAGAAATGACGATATAAGAATATCTCCAGGCAGAGGAATTGCCATGTATAAAGCCCTAGATTCATTGAAGCAGTGTAATGACATGATCGGATTTGTGTTTGGAAATAGCTCCCGGAAAATACATTGGAATGTGGAGAGATTAAAGGCAAGAAAATCAATTAGGAAGATTTTGATTAAAAAACAGTAATTATAAATCAGGTAACCTGTTGCCTGGCCTAGACAGATGTTCAGTGAATCTTTTCCTTTTTAAGTCCTTTCCTGTTTTAGTAGTCTAGGCAAGACGTGAAAAGAATCTGCTGCAAAAGAACAGTGTTGGAAATGGAAAGAGTTCAACAGATTTGCAAGAGATTTTTAGGAGGATTTAGGACCTGATTAGGTTTGGGGAGTATGAGAAAAATAAAAGATAAGGATGATTTAAGTGTCTAGATTGAGTAGCTGGACAGAAGTACCTTTCCCATGAGAGAGAGTACAGGAGGAGGAGCAGGTTAGTGAAGATGATGAGCTTAGTTAAGTTTGATAGGTACATCGATCATTAAGTGCAACTCTATAGTAGCCAGTTAGAACTCATTAATTATTTTAATTGACCCTTCTTTGACTCTCCTCTTTCTTTTATACCTTACACATAATCTATCAGCAAATCCTGTTAACTTTACCTTCAAAATGTATTCAGAATCCACCCATTTCTTATCACTATCCCTCCTACTTCCACGGTCCAAGCTCCGGTGTCTTGTCTGGACCACTGCAGTGGCTTCCTACTGGTCTTCCTGCTCCACCCTTGACCACCCAGAATCTCTTCTCAGTGCAGTTCCCAGAGGAAGCCCTTTAGGTACCATTCCAGATAAATCACTCCTCTCATGTCCAGCGGCTTCCCATCTCATTCTACTTAAAAGCCAAAGTCATGACAGTGGTCTAAAACATCCTATTTGATCTGGTACCCCATTACCTCTCTGAGTTCATCTCCTATAACTTTTCCCTGATTTGTTCTACTCCAGCTAGTTTAGCCTCCTTGCTTTCTCCCAGCTTTCCTCCCATCTGAGGGTCTTTGCTCCTTGTTTTCTCTGCCCACAGTGATTTTTTTCCTCAGATGTTTGTTTGCATGTTCCCTCAACTCCTTATCTCTTTGCTTTAAATGTCACCTTTTCAGCAAAGTCTTCCCTGTACCTCCTGCTTGGAACTCCCTTTAGCCTTTTCCTACTTTGTTTTTCTTCATAGCATTATCATTATATAACATTGTCTTTTTCTGCCTTCTCCTATTGCCTCCCTTCTCCTATTAAATGGAAGATCCACAAGGGCAGGAGCTTCTCTTTCTGTTTTGTGCACTGCTGCAACAATTACAGAGTCAGATAATCCAAGAGACTCACAGGACTTCACAAGATTTAACCATAGGAGGTTTTTGTTTCAGCAAGAGAAAGAAAGCACATACAAGTACAAAGAGATCCAAACTTTCAGATGAGCTCCTAGGATTCTTTCTCAGTTGCACAGGACATGCTTTGTCTTTGGGTTATGCAATGTCAAGATACAAGTGAGATACACTGGCCTTGGGAGTTGAGGCACAAGTTTCCCAAGGGGTCTTTTATAGCCCCTCTGGTAAATCAGGTGAAACGAGCTATCTGTACATTTTCAAGAAACAATGTAAGTAAACTGATATGGACTATATCCAGGGGACATTAAATAGCACAATATAAATGACTGGTTAGTATATTTCATCCCATCATGGCCAAGGGTCACTACCGGACATCCAGGTGTCCCTGGAGATAAGCATAGCGCTACCACACACCAGCTGCTATGGTAGAATAGTGTTTAGCACTATAGTTGCTCAATAAATAGGTGTTGAATGAATGAGTAAAAGAAGTAATGAATCTTTCACAATTTATTTTTATTTCTTTTCTGAACTGTTGCCCCTGATACTAGTTTGCCAGCATAAAACATATGGCATATGGTTGATGCTTGAACAACCCAGGGGTTCTGATCCCCTGCATAGTCAAAAATCCACAGAAAACTTTTGACTCCCCTGAAACTTAAATACTGATAGTCTACTGTTGATTGGAAATTTTACTGATAACATAATAGTCAATGAGCATATATTGTATGTGTTATATACTCTAATTTTGCAATAAAATATGCTAGAGGAAAGAAAATATTAAAATCATAAAGTAAAGAAAACACATTTATAATACTGTACTGTAAAAAGTCTGCATTTGAGTGGACCCATGCAGTTCAAACCTATGTTGTTTAAAAGTCAACTGTAGGATGTCTCCTTTTTTTTTTTTTTTTTTTTTTTTTTGAGAGAGAGAGAGAAAGACCAAGTGGGAGGTGGGGGGATTTAAGGGGCAGAGGGAGAGGGAGAGAGAGAGTTTTGAACAGGCTCAGTGCTCAGCACAGAGCCCAAAGTGGGATTCAGTCTCACAACCCCCTGAGATCATGACGTGAGCTGAAATTAAGAGTCAGGCATGTAATTGACTGAGCCACCCGACTCTCCACCTGTAATCTCCTTATAACTCTAAGGAGAAGTTAGTTTGATCAGAAACTGCCTTAATTCTCTTGGCTTGTTAAAGATTTCTCCCAAACTCTTTCCCTTTCTAGCACTTAAGGGCCAAAAGTTCATGTGGTTTTTGTATGGTTATCTTTATGTTTTCTCCTTAATAGTCATAACATTCTGTTTCTTTCAGGACTATTGATGAATTGATCTCTGATTATTCATGCTGAGATGCTTCTTTAACTAAAAAACATTTTCTATAATTATATCCTTATACTTACTGCATTTCTAATATTTTCTCTTTTCTGTTACCCTCATATTCATCATTTCTTTCTCTTTTCTATCCATTTGTGAAGTTCCTGTGTGGTATAATCCCTTACTTGTGTAATTAGGCTAAAATTGTATTGTTCTGTATTAGTCTGCATTTAGCAGACTGTTGATTCTTTGCTATATTTTTTTTAACAAATAACATTGATATTTTTAGTTTCAATTTAGTGTCTGCAATTTTAAGAAACTGTTTTGGCATTATCTCACATTCCGTTCATCAGTGATTAGTTATCAGTTCATTAATCCCTTCCTCAGATATGATAGCATTTCTGTTACCTAATCTCCTTCACAGGATGCTTTTTATTTTTTAAGCTTTTATTTAAATTCCAGTTAGTTAATATAAAGTGTCATATTAGTTTCAGGTATACAATATAGTGATCCAACATTTCCATACATCACCCAGTGCTCATCACAAGTGCATCCGTAATCCCATCACCTATTTCACCCGTCCCCCACCCGCTTCCCCTCTGGTGACCATCAGGTTGTTCTCTATAGTTAAGATTGTGTTTCTTGATGTGTCTCTTTTTTTCCCTATGATCATTTGTTTCTTAAATTCCACATATGAGTGAATTCATGGTATTTGTCTTTTTCTGACTAATTTCACTTAGCATCATACACTCTAATTCCATCTATGTCATTGCACTGGATTTTTAATTTTTTTTCTCAAGAGTTTCAATTTAAAAAATATCTTAATTATAATTATTCTTTCCCAAAAATGTATTGTTATTGTTGGAAAAATAAGAAAGCATACATAAGAAGAAAATTTTTTAAAAATTATTTTTAATACCATCACATAGCAAAAAACACTGCATTATTATACATTTTTTAACTGAATGTATTGTGAATATTTTTTCATGTCATTACTACCTTACCTGTATTAACTGAGGCAAATGACATTGTATTTTATTTTATCAATTAACTATAATTTATTTAAGTAATTCCCTCTAATGGAATGTTTAAGCTGTTTCATATTTTTCTGCTATAAACTACTTCATTGACATTCTTTCTGCACTATCTTTGTAAACATCTTAATTATTTCCAAAATCATATTTATAGAAGTATGATTTCTAGATTAAAAGGTATGTAAATGTCTAAGATTTTTTTTATGTGCATAATTTTGAGAAGTATATAAATGGTCTTTCTTGTTAGCTTGACTTCTGAATTTTTTTTCCTTGTGGATTTGGTTTAGAGGCAATACCCTGCAGTTATTAGTCTCCTATCTCTCTAAAAATGTTGTTAATTGCTGTTTTTAAAAGGGCTAGAATTGAGTCTAAAATCTGGCAAATATTACAATCAAGCAATTTTTATTTTTCTATCACCTTCCTTGTTAAATATTAAAATCAAACAATTTTTATTTTTTATTAGCATAAAAGGTTTTTCATTCTAAATAAATTCTTAACTTTCTAGACTTTCATATGGCAGATCATCCATTGGAATATTAAATTTAAAGCATGTTTCTGGTATTTTAACATTTCATTACAATTAAATAGTTTTTTAGAACGTAATTAAAGTATATGCATAACCCCAAATAGTTTTTAATTTTGTGGTGATACACCAAGTATATTATTGCCAATTTTGTAAGTGTAAACATTCTATAAAGAAACTAACCAATTTTGTTGGATTTGTTTTTAAAGGTGTTAATTAATCTTCGCAACCCAAATTATGAAAATGGTGATTCTCTTAGTTTCAGGACCCATTTGGGCTTAATCCAAGTACCTCTGAAAGTAAAAGACATCCCTGAATTGGTAAGTATAGGCATTTCAAAATATTACATATTTTAGAAGACAGCCATTAGAAAAATATTTATTGAAGCATATATCTAAAGCAACAAGACTGCTTATTAAATAAATTAAGTGAAAGGTTTATTTTTTTATTGTCAATATGTTATATAGACAGTGAATTGCTTTGCTGGTACAACTAAAAATGAGCTTTCATGGGCCTATAAACACTTTTGCTTTTTTCTCATTTTAATCAACAGCATAGATTTATAAGACAGCTTGTTGGGATTCAGGTGTGTGATCTATGGCAATAAAACTCATTGAAACAAGATGTGAATTTTTAAAAATTTTAAAATTTTTTTAAATTGTGAATTTTAAAAATTTTAAGGAATGTACATTTTAACCAATTCAACATTTAACAATTTACATTTAACAATTCAACCAACCTATATTAAGCTTAACAAGATGAGGTACTGAGGGAGATAAAGGGAAGGGAAGATGAGGTAGAGCTTGTCTTTGCTCTGGAAACTATCACATTTTAGTGAGGAAGTTAGTTTTAAAATAGAGCAATTATAGAAAGGTGAAGAGAATTCCTGATGGTGGAGTTAAGAAATTATCACTCCTTCTTCTGCTAATCTCCCCAAAGCAATAAGGAGCACAGAACTATAAATACCATCATTGGTGAAACTAGGAAACAGCTTATAACTCTGTTAATATATTCCTTTGGAGAGCTGGTAGGAAAATGACTTAAACATGAAAGAAGGTCAAGCCCAAATGCTTTGCTGTAGGAGATGGGAGATACAGATGAGAGGCATGGCAACAATCAGTTTATCTTTCAGCTCTGTTTCCACCTCTTTGTTTTGCTCTGCTTTATTATGCTAGAGCTAGACCTTACAAACATTCCTCTTCTGCTAACTGGCTTGATGTTAGGCTTTAGCAGTAGAGGGTTCTGGAGGGGACACTGCAGACTGAACAGGAAAAAAGAGGTTCCCTTCCTGGTTCCTATGTTCAGAAGCATGGAGAAGCCAGCTCCAAATTGTGCCCTCTGGCAAGTTTCTTCACCCACCCACTAAACCCCCATGCACATTCTTGGGGTAGCCATTCTCTCTCCTTAAAAGACTGAATCTGGGACTCCTGGGTGACAGTTAAGTGTCTGCCTTCTGCTCAGGTCATGATCTCAGGGTCCTGGGATCCTGCTCAGCCAGGAGCCTGCTTCTCCCTTTCCTCTGCCCCTCCCCACCACTTGTTCTCTCTCTCTCTGTCAAATAAATAAATAAAAATCTTAAAAAAAAAGAAGACTGAATCTCATGGAATCTAAGATAGAAAACAACCAAAAAAACAGAAATGAATAGATAACAAACTATTGGATGTCAGAGTGGGGAGTGGTGGGGAGATGGGCAAAATAGGTGAAGGGGATTAAGAGGTATAAACTTCCAGTTACAAAATAAATAAAGCATGGGCTGGAAAGTACAGTATAGAGAATATAGTCAGTAGAAGTGTAATAACTTTGTATAACAGATGGTAACTACAACTTAGCATGGTGAGCATTTCATTAAAAAAAAAAAAAAAAAGTCTGAATCTCAGTCTTGAGGGCAGGGGGAACCCTTTCCAGAGTTCCTAGTTCCTTCTTGGTTCCCTCTTCATCAGTCTAGAAGTCATAGTTGCTTTTTGCATTTGCTAATTCTGTTTTTCCCTGTTCACATTTCTGGTATGATTTCTGTTTTTTTACTGGACACTTGACTGATACAAGAAGCAGCATGATTTTCTTCACAGAACTTTGGAAAGGCTCAAGAAGTGGAGACACCACATGTTGCTAAGCCATAGGGTTGAAAATGAGACTGCGTGAAAGTCTGTATCAGGAGATAGCAGACCCCCAGACTCCTACCACGTTGTATATTCATTCAGGTGATTCCTTCTTCCCCACAGGAGACCAGAGACATATTCATGAGAGAGAATCAGAAAGGCGAAGAATTCAGAGATTTCAGATTTACAGCAGTACAAGAATGAGACACTGCTTTGAAAACAGAGAAATTAAGTGAAAGTTGACCAAATGATGAGACTAATACCCTCATCCCCTACCTCCATCACTGTGCCTGCCCAGTTCTCTCCCTCTGTTGCATCCTGTGCCCCATCCTTGCTGACACAGCTTCTAGTCAATTGCCTCATTCCTAAATATGACTGACCAGCCTAGGATCTCCAGACATTTATTTGAAATCTTCCAATTTGAAAGGCAGAAACCAAAATTAAACCACCTACCCCCCCAAAAAAAGAGAGAAAGAAAGAAAAGAAAAATAGGCAGTTTAGGGAGTGAATACTTATCATGAGCACTAGTAATTGTTTTAGGTTTGGAGTTACATTCACACTCAAAGGATACAATAGGTCATAACCTGGCATCAGGTTCCCTTAGATTTGTAGAATAGTACAGGATAGAAGACACAGCATGTCTGTATATCACGCAGATCTTCGCTGGGTGTCCTCATAGCCAATCCTATGCTACTTCCCAGCCCAGACAAGTAATGCATGCAATTGGAAGTGACAGTTACATAAGCACAACATAGGGAAGTCATACACGATAGGAACTGTTTCTTATAATGCACATGAGCATAACTTCCAAGTCCTGTCAAGGGACACCACACCAGAAAGCTAACGCCTGTGTTTTCCAATAGATTTTTATAGTCCACTCAGAGTCTCCCATTTCAAATGTAATTTACCATCAAGGGTCATATTTTTTTTTTGTAAAGCTCATTGGTTAGTAATATAGTTGGCATTTCTTGCAGTAATTTGTGTGTCTGTGTGTATATATGGTGTGTGTGAGATCCAGAACATTTTCAGGGCAACAGTACTGGGTAAAGGTAAACCCAGGGTCATCTTCACATGGACAAAGAAGTTAGCCTGTCAAACATTTCTTCCCCACAGGAGACTTAAACCATTAATATTCTCAGAGAAGTTAACTACTCGTGAAACAAGAATTACAAAAGAACGGAGTTTCATTAAAACAATAAAACAAAACACGAGAATGAGAAAGAACATTTAGAAATCAAAAATATGGTAAGAGAGTTGAAAACAAAGGTGAAGAAATCTCTATCAGAAGACAAAACAAAAGCAAAAAGCCAAAGAGATGAAAATAAGAGGGAAAAGATTTTTTTTCTAAACTAGATGATAAATCCAGAAGAACTAACATTTGACTAATAGGAGTTCCAGAAAAAGAAAACAGTGGTAGGGGAATTCTTAAAATTGCCAAGACCTCAGGTGCCTGGGTGGCTCAGTCAGTTAAGCGGCTGTCTTGGGCTCAGGTCATGATCCCAGGTCCTAGAATCGAGCCCCATGTCAGGCTCTTTGCTCAGTGGGGAGCTGCTTCTCCCCTGCCTGCCGTTCCCCCTGCTTGTGCTTGCCTCTCTCTCGTGCTTGTTCTGGTAAATAAATAAATAAAATCTTAAAAAAAAAAAAATCCCAAGATCTGAAAGATAGGAATCTCCGATTCCTATGAATGAATCCTGTGAATGAAAAGGCCTACCTACTTTCCAATGCCATGAATGAAAGGAGACCCATGTAAAGGCCCCTGAAAAGAGGACTCTAAAAACATTTTATAGAAGAGAAAGAGAATACATGTAAAGTGTCAGGAATTAGAGTGGCATCTGACTTCTCAGCAGCAAAACCGGAAGCGAGGAGATTTCAAAGTAATCCCTTTAACAATCCAAATGATTTCAAGCCAAGAATTCTGTATGTAGCCAACGGTTAATCAAATATGAGGTTGGAGTGAATGTTTTCAGATGTGTATGATCTAAAATATTTACTCTTATTAGGGGACCTATTGGAAGAAAGCCTCCAAAACAAGCTCATAAAAAGAGCAAAGTAGGGGACCCAGGAAACAGGGTTCCAACCTAAGAGAAGAAAAATTTCCAGAATGAGAGTGAAAAGAAGTTTCAGGGCAAAGGGTATGCATAAGACCAGAGCACAGGGATTCCAGACTGGGAGGGTTCCAGGATGAGTGTTTGCAAGAAAAGTTTGACCACATGCAAAATTATATTGTGGGGCACCTGGGTGGCTCAGTAGGTTAAGGCCTCTGCCTTCAGCTCAGGTCATGATCCCAGGGTCCTGGGATCGAGCCCCGCATTGGGCTCTCTGCTCAGCGGGGAGCCTGTTTCCTCTTCCCTCTCTGCCTGCCTCTCTGCCTACTTGTGATCTCTGTGTCAAATAAATAAATAAAATTAAATTAAAAAATTCAATTGTGGATGGTCTTTTCAGAGGTGTTGGAGGTACAGGAAGAGATAAATGATTAGAGAAGATTATGTATGTGAAAAAAGGATTTAATTAAGAGCTACAAAAAAGTAGTACAAAAAAGGAAACATTTATCACATACTGCCTGGCTCAGCAGTGGATATTTAGTCATAATGCAAACTCTTAATATGGATTTAATAAAGAATTGTTATGTAATTATATTGGAATGATGGAGGAAAAGAGAATGTACCTGAGCTAAAATCCTTATTTACAGTAAAAAGTCAATAGATATTTGAAACTGATAAAAGTAGCAATAAGTGTTACTTGAAATATGGAGGTAAATACCAGAAAAAAAAGCTGTAAATAGTTGTCCCTGAGTAGTGGCCAGTTGTGATTGTGTGTGCACGTGTGTGTATACGTATGGCAGAGGAATGTATCAGATGAGGAACTGCTATTTTGTTGTTACATGTTTTTAGCTGATTTGATGTCTTCAACTATTTGCTGTATGTGGAAACAGTATAGCATGATGGTTAATTGATTAGATTCTGAAGCCACCTAACTGGGATTTAAATTTTTGCTCTTCCCCTTACTGGCTATGTGACCTTGGGCAAGTTTCCTTGAGCCTTAGTTTTCTTATTTGTAAAGAAGGATAATAACATCTCATAGAAGTATTATATAGATCAACAAGTTAAGATGTAAAGTATGAGTTGAATTGTGTCCCTCAAGAAGATATGTTGAAGTCCTAACCTTTAGTACTTGTGAATGTAACCTCATTTAGAAATAGGGTTACTGCAGATCAATCAAGTTAAGATGATATCTTACAGAAATACGGTGAGCCCTAATCCAGTATGACCAGTGTTTTTATAAGAAGAGAAGAGACACAGAAGAGAGACATACAAGGAGAGTTTCTAAAGACAGTAGAAGCAGAGATTGGAGTTAGGCATCTATAAGTCAAGGAACACTGTAAGTTGCCAGCAAGACCAGAAGCTAAGAGAAAGGCTTAGAACAGATCTCCCCTAGAGTTTTCAGGGAGAGCATGGCCTTGTTAACACCTTGATTCTAACTTCTAGAACTGTGAGAATAAATTTCTGTTTAAAGTGGGACTTTTTTTTTTTTTTTAATGGAATACCTAAGAAACTAAAATATAAGACATATAGTTGGTACCTGACACTTAGTAAGTAGTATATAACTATTCATCATTACTGTTAAAAATATAATCAATTAATTGGGAGGGAGACAAACCATAAGTGACTCTTAATCTCACAAAACAAACTGAGGGTTGCTGGGGGGAGGGGGGTTGGGAGAGGGAGGGTGGGGTTATGGACATTGGGTAGGGTATGTTCTATGGTGAGTGCTGTGAAGTGTGTAAACCTGGAGATTCACAGACCTGTACCCCTGGGGGGGAAAAATATATATATATGTTTATAAAAAATAAAATTAAAAAAAAAAGACAAAAGGACAGGCAAAAAAAAAATAATCAATTAAAAAATTAATTTTTAAGAAGTTATTTTTTTTAAATATTAGAAGACCTGTTTGTAGTAGTTTATATAAAATATACAGAAGAGGCAGTGGCAGATTCTTCTGCTGGAAGTGGTAGGAGGTCTTCTTAGAGGTACTGCTATTTGGACTAGTTTGAAGGAGTTTGCTAGGTAAAGAAGCAGGAAAAGGATGCTGCTGTATGAAAAAGTTTAGTATGTGTGTGAGTGGGACTAGTTATGCCTTCTGTCTGTCTGGGGGGACCTGGAGTTGATGTGGATTTGTTCTTAGCTATTGAAGAACCAAAAGCCTGTGGCTAATTTTCAAAAAACTTGTGGCTGTCCCCACTAAAAGTATAGTTAGTCCTTCTCTTCCTGCTGTGACTAGGGCTAGTTGTTTCCGCTTTCCTTGAGTCATGTGGCCTGGGGATATGGTTCTGACTCCATGATGCATAGTTTATTTGAGACCCTGGTCTGTGTGTGTGAGTATTGAACTGAGGCTCCCTGAGTCAAATGATCCTATAATAGATGGCTTTCAAACCTAGTTCACAGTGTTATGTAAACTCATCCATGTTAAAAGGGCATTTTTAATAAACTAAAAATTTTTAACTCTAAAGTGAAATTGTCAGTTCATTGGTATTTACCGATTCAGTCACAAAGAGGCAACAGGTTGAAAACTAGAGCTCAGCACGGTGACTCAATATTTATGGGGTCCCTCTGCAATATGTCTTAGCACACTGCTAAGTACTGGGGCTGCAAATATTTGTAAGACACAGTCCTTGTCTTCCAGGAGCTTCGGGTTACTGGGGAGATGGACAGTAAGAAGATAATTTCAATATGATATGATTCTGTTCTTTGCTAGAGGTGTATAAAAGGTAATACATGTAGCATAGAAAGTTGTTTCTATCAGCCCAGAATTTCAAGGAAGGCATCCCAGAAAGCCTAGTATCTTGGTAAGTTTTGAAGGAAATCTGAGATTGGGGTGCAGGTCTACTGCTATTGAGTGAAAAATAGTACAGAGCAGTGAGATAGAAAATGAATGTTCAGAGTTCTGTTTCTGCACCTTAACATGACTTAGCATAAGTAAAATTCTCTTCTCCATTGTGGTTACAAAAGCTAATATCGACATGTTTATCGGATCTAGGTCCCTTCCGTAGTATGAAGGGACTTTTCCTCTTTAGTCGTTAAAAATTAGAAACATAAATTGAAGTGCTTTTTGAAAGTATATATAAAATTCAAATTTAGTTAAAAATTGAAGTATAACATCAGTTACTTAAATCAATACAAAAATAAAATGACTATGCATGTTAGGCTGGATAACTGTCTTATGAGGGGCAGAAATAAATCACTACCTTAAATAATAATACATAATTATGAAGGATTAAAACTAATTTCATCTTTTAAAGGATAAGGAAGTTTGGTTTTAGCAATTAGAATAATAACAAAACACTGAGGCAAATATTAATAGAAATATTTAATTACTTAAGGAATAAACATAATGTGAATAATATGAGGTTGTTGTATATTTAAAAAATAACAGACCAACATGTTTACTTTCCCTGGATATTACTAGATAAGTGGAGGAAGTCTGGAGAATAAATCTAATTTGTTCTTAGTTTAGCAGAATGCTTGGTAGTTTAATTAAAAATTAATTTAAGTTGTTTTGGATATTTGCAGTGTTTAGTTGATTAAAGGTGAAGTGAAGTATAGTACCATAGAAAACAGGTAGAGAATCATTTTGGTAATTTTAGGCAATGAATTTAAAAAATAAAATTGTTGCGTTCTATACATACTGTGTGTGTGTGTGTGTGTGTGTGTGTGTGTGAGGAAAGATTTGAATGTTCTTAGTTCTTTACTCAAAAGTATAATTATCAGGGTGCCTGGGTGGCTCAGTCATTATGTATCTACCTTCAACTCGCATCATGATCCTGAGGTCCTGGGCTCGAGCCCTACATCGGGCTCCCTACTCAGCGGGAAGCCTGCTTTTCCCTCTCCCACCTGCTTGTGTTCCCATCTCTTCTGTTTCTCTCTCTGTCAAATAAATAAATAAAATCTTTTTTTAAAAAAAGTATAATTATCATGTCTTACTTAACTGATTAATCTATTACTTAAAAAGGCAAAATTCTGACTAACGCATTACTTTTGAAAAGTTCAATAAAAACCTTTTTAAGATATTTGAATGAAGCAAAGATTCATTTTACATTGTAATTTTTATTTAAGCTGATGTTTGGAGGAGACTGATTTTTTAAATATTGTGTAGCAAAGTCTGAGATGTATGTTAATTCTATGTTATTTTTCAGAAAGAATTCTTTGTAGAACTCGGCTTAACTACAGGACAGCTGGGTATAGATGACTCTACACAAGTGCCTCCTGGTGAGTGTTTCTCCCATACACCATATAATTAATGCTAAATGAGAATGAGTTGAAGGCTTATCTGGTCATTTCCAAATTAATCTAGTAACTTTTTAATGTCTGAAAACCAAGCATACTTTTTGCTTCTCCTTGATTTCTGTTAATTATTGAATAGAATTCTGTATGTTTTTATTATCAGAATTCAACTAGATTTTGTCTTTTAATTTGAAGGTCTTTAATTTTGAAAAGTCATTAAACATACTCACATCATTGGGCGCCTGGGTGGCTCAGTTGGTTGAGCGACTGCCTTCAGCTCAGGTCATGATCCCGGACTTAAGGATCGAGTCCCGCATTGGGCTCCCAGCTCCTTGGGAGCCTGCTTCTCCCTCTGACCTTCTTCTCTCTCATGCTCTCTCTCACTCATTCTATCTCAAATAAGTAAATAAAATCTTTTAAAAAAAATACATCATTTGGTTGGCAAAACTGTCATTGGCAGCACTCATGTTTTCCTTTACTGGCCGTTACTATCTTCATAACTATTTGTATCACCAAGTTAATTGTATACATATATTCTACCTTGTATAAACTTGGGCTGTAAAATTAGTATCTTTTAAATATTAACCCAGTAGAAAACTTCCGCAACTTTTCTTCTTTGTGGATAAATGTGATTTTCATAAAAGACCAGATTGGTATTTAGCTTTAATAAACAAGAAGTAAAAATTGGCTTAAAATATGGAGGCCTATATGGTAGTGGAATCGTGCCGGTCTCTCCTCCACCACTGGCTAGCTGTGTGACTTGGGCAAGTCACTTTACATTTCTGGACTTGTTTCTTTCTCTGTAAAATAAAGAAGTTGGCTGTTTCTTATTATTAATAACAATAACAAATATAATAAAGTCATTGAGTACATACTATATGTTACATGTGTATTATCTAATTTTAACCCCCAGCTCTAGAAGGTATGTTCTATTACCATTTTAAAAACTTTATTAATATATAATGCATATGGACAATTACAGGGGCACCTGCCTGACTCAGTTGGAAGAGAATGTGACTCTTGATCTCTGGGTTGTGAGTTTGAGCTCCACGTTACGTGTAGAGATTATATTTTTATTAAAAAGGAAAAATACATATATTGTAAGAGAATGACCCATTGAATTTTTATGAAGTGGACACAAATATTAAAATACCACCCAGATCAATAAACTGAAGCCCCATCCTATCCTCTTTCAATCTTTATTCGCTTTGTCAAAGATAACCACTATTCTGATTTCTAGCAGAATAGATTAATTTTGCCAATTCTTGAACTTTGTATGAATGAAAGCATATAGCATGTACTCTTTGATGTTTGACTTCTTTTGTTCCACATTATGTTTGCGAGGTTCAGCCATATTCTGTGTATTTGTGAGCAATTTTTTTGCATTATAGTATTCTACTGTTGATGAGTATTTGGGAAGTTTCAAGTTTGGGGCTATTACAAATATGGCTGCCATGAACATCCTAGTTTGTTTCTCTTGGTGAACGTATGTATACACCTCTGTCAAGTATATACCCGGGAAGATGATTATTCTCTCCTGGCGTTTTCATAAGTTCAGCTTTGGTAGATAATTTCTAAAGAATTTTCGAAAAGGATAATACCAGTTTACACTTCCACCAACAAGGTATGAGAGTAGAAGTAGTTGTCCTATATCCTTGCTAATGTTTAATGTATGCCATCTTCTTTGTAGTCATTCTGGTGGTATATAGTTATACTTGATTACGGTTTTAATTTTCTAGTATCATGTGAGATAGAAGTTTTACTACCATTTTAAAGTTGAAGAAGTGGAGATGTTAAGTAACTTGTGCAAGGTCACAAAGCTAGTAAGTGCTAGAACCAAGATTCAAAACTAAAAAGTCTGCCTCCAAAGTCTGCCATTATATGCTGCCTCCCCCTTGACCTTTGATAGTCCTTTTTATTTTATGAGAAGATATCATATATCTCACAGAATAAGATATTGCTGTGGTTTAGATGTTTTTGTCCTGAAATATTTTGAAGTTCTAATCCCCAAGGTGATGGTATTAGGTGAGTCCTCAGGAAAATGATTAGGTCAGGAGGGTGGTGCCCTCACGGATGAGATGAGTGCCCTTGTGAAAGATCTCTCAAGCCCCTTCCACCATGTGAGGACACAGAGAAAAGTCAGCAGTTTACAACCTAGAATAGGGCATGCACCCAACCATACTGGTACCCTGATCTTGGACTTCCAGTCCCCACAACTGTAAGAAATAAATTTCTGTTGTTTATAACCCAGTCTGTGAGTGTTTTATTGTAGTATTCTGAACAGACTAAGACAGATACCTTGTATTTCTGTTCATGGCCAGTGATAGCCATACATATAACAAAAGGAAAAGAAAATAATAATAATATAACTTTGAATGATATTTATGTTTTTCATTTTTGAAATAACCCTTAAGAATTGCTTAAAATTATTCTAGATCCTGTAGTACCTATGCTTTAGAAAGCCTAATTATTTTCTTAATCTAGAATACAGTTCTTTCTTTTTTGATTCACTGTAACACAACAAATATAAGACCCTGCTAAGGGCCAGAGACTAGTGAACACATAGGTGTGACATAATATTTATTAATATTTACATAAAAAATTTTTTATTAGTGGAAAGTAAGATTCAGATAAGAATCAGTGTGGTATTTGCTGTTATAATATACATTACATATTACATATATACATACATACATATGTATATTATTACACACATACATATGCATATATATATATATATATATATATATATATATACCTACCTACATACATACATACAGCAGAGGAAGGAACGCTACATCTGCTAGAGGAGGCTGATAGTCTCTTTAGTTGATGCAGTTGTTTTTATTCTCTACTCCTCAAAGCAGGACTGCTAGAAATTGGGAGGAGGGAATCAAGTGCCAAGATGGTCATCAGGTTGCCAGGGGACCCAGGCTGTACTTACCCAGACAGTCACATATAAATTCATGGCCCTTAACACATGGTTATCCCATTCATTAGAAGAGGTAAACGAATCACTGTTGTAGAATCTAACAAATCCAATTAACAGCTCCTCCTTTCTCAGCTGGTGGGGAGAAAGAGAAAGAGGAAATGGAAAAACTGATTTTCTCTGGGGTGGGGAAAAGAGCTAAAATTTTTCCCTCTCATAGTTGCATAACCTTTTTTTTCCTCTAATTTTTGAGTAACATTATAGTAGTATAACATACATACTGAAAAGGACACAGATCCTAAGTATACAGATCAGTGAATTTTTATGAAGTGAAAACACTTGTGAAACCTCTGACTAGATCAAGAGATAGAGTATTACCAGCATCCCAGAAGCCTCCAGGTACAATTCTACACTCTAGCAACTTTCATGGGTAACAACTATCCTGACTTCTAACATTGTAGGTTAGTTTTGCCTATTTTTTACTTTGTAGGTATGGGACCATACAGTTGATGATTTCTACTGTTGATGGTCATTTGAGTTGTTCCCACTATTTGGTTATTAGCAGTAGTGCTGCCATGAATGTTCTAGTATATGTCCCTTGGGGCACATATGAATGCATTAAGGTATACCCAAAAGCAGATTGCTAATTGTCCTAGGATGTGCATACATTCTGTGTTAGTAGGTGCTTCTGGTTTTCCAAGTGGCTGCACTATTTACAGTCCCACTGCCTTTATATGAAAAGTTCATTTACTCCATTTTCTTTGCATGTAGAATTGTCCATCTTCCATTTCATCATTGCGATGGGTATGCATTTCATAATGGTTTTAATTACATTCTTGGATGACTAATGTGGTTGAGTCTCTTTTCATAACTTTAGTAGTCCTTTGGGTCTCCTCTTTTGTAAATAACCTGTTCGCATGTTTTGTCTATTTTGTCAGATAGTCATCTGTCTTTACCAGTTCTTTACATGTTCTAGATACAAGTCCTTTGTCAGGTACATGCATTGCAGATACAGTTCCCCACTCTGCGACTTACCTTTTCACTCTCAGTGGTGTCTTTTGTTTTGTTTTTTTGTTTGTTTTTAAAGATTTTATTTATTTATTTGACAGATAGAGATCACAAGTAGGCAGAGAGGCAGGCAGAGAGAGAGAGAAGGAAGCAGGCTCCCTGCTAAGCAGAGAGCCCGATGTGGGGCTCGATCCCAGGATCCTGGGATCATGACCTAAGCCAAAGGCAGAGGCTTTAACCCACTAAGGCACCCAGGTGCCCCACAATGGTGTCTTTTGATGAATAGAAGTTTTTTCTTTTTTAATGTGGTCTCATTTATTGAGTCTTTCCCCATTATGATTGGTACTTTAAAAGCAAATCTTTGGGGTGCCTGGGTGGCTCAGTTGGTTAAGCACCTGACTCTTGACTTTGGCTCAGGTCATGATCTCCAGAATCATGGGATCCAGCCCCACATTGGGCTCTGAGCTCAGCATGGAGTCTGTTTGAGATTTTCTCTCTCCCTCTCCCCCACCCCTCCCCCTGCTCTCTTGCATTTGCTCGCTAGCTCTCTATCTCTCTCAAAATGAATAAATAAATAAAACTTTTTTTTTAAAGTAAGTCTTTGTTTTTCCAATATAATCTTTTAAAATGGCATTTGTATAGTGGGATTTTACCTATAATAGCATTAAGGCTTTTTTTAGCTATGCTGTCCTGGCAGATTAGAGAGCAAAAGTAGGGCTTTGCAAATGAAGCTGTCAAGATGAGTAAACATTTTTCTGTTCTGAAAAGATACTGTTTTATTTTAACAAAGGAAAATTAGTTATCACCTTTTTTTCTGATTAAATGTACTTAACTCATTTTTAATTTCCTTAAACTTTAAACAACTTTAAAAAAAGATTTTCTACATATAAAGATATATATTCTTATAGTTCTCCATAGAGCTGTTTAGCTTTAAAACAGTATCAATAGCAGAAAAATATACTTAATATTGTTCTAAACATGGTTAATCATATTTGTGTCAAATAATTTTATTTTATCATTTTCAGAACTTTTTGAAAATGAGCATGTACGTATTGGGCAAAAAGGTAAGATTTTGATTATATTTATACTTTCTGAAAATGAAATAGTCTGAAGTAAATGTCTGCATTCTGTACCTCCAACTGAAATTCAATCTCTAAAAAGTCAAAAATCTAAAAAGAGTAATATTTAGTTGTGTAGTTAATATAATGGGAATCTTTATAAAGAGGAGAAATGCATCATTTTCACTTCATCAATAAATGTTAGATAAAGAAGTACACAGATGGCTCACTAAAAAGAAAATAATAAATGCAGACACACATTCTTCAAGAATGTTAGCTTATTCCATTCAACAGAATTTCATTTTAAAATCAAAGAGTCAGGCTCTCTCTTTGATGTGCCCACACACTTCTCATTAGTGTTAATGGGAATATGCCCCTGCATCAGGAGAAACTATAACTTTCATGCTTCTCTATGATTGTTCACAGTGGTAAGGCTTAATAACCAAAGCAGCTCTTAGTGTTCTGGGGAATAATTTTTCCCCACCTTTGAAGATTATTTTCCTTGTTTTTATAAATCTTGTTTTGTCTTTGATATACAAAGTGCAGATAAGTCTTTGTGTCACAAGGACCTTCTACAGCAATTGCATTGTCGTATTCTAAACTAACTAGTTCAGTTTTCAAAATCATATTTATTCCAGACTTCATCATTTTTCCTTCATATGCTTGACATTTGCATTAAACACATTTATAAATTAAAGAATATGCCTTGGCTTTTCAAATTTTATATGATCCCTTTATTTCTTTAGGTTAAGTAATTTTCATTTAGTCTAAGTTTTTTTTCCCTTTTAAGAAGAAAATAGGAATACCTGGGTGGCTTAGATGGTTAAACTGCTGCCTTCGGCTCAGGTCATGATCCCAGGGTCCTGGGATCAAGTCCCGAATCGAGCTCCTTCCCGGGTGGGAGCCCGCTTCTCTCTCCACCTCTGCCTGCCACTCTGCCTGCTTGTGTGTGCACTCTCTCTCGCTCCCTCTCTGACAAATGAATAAATAAATAAAATCTTAAAAAAAATAGTAAGAAGAAAATAATAAGAAAACATTATGTTAGATAAATATCAGCAGTTGTCTGGAATATCTTTTTTTGCTTTTTTTTTGTTTTGCTTGTTTGGGAGAGCCTTTATTTCCAGACCTAATAGCTGGTATTTCCATTAAAGAAAATAAAAATGAAAATGAAAGCAGGATAATGTATTAATTTTGTATACTTGGCTGCTTTCAAATAGTTTTTGGCCTTCTTAAAGGTTATCAGATCCTTTATTTTCTACCTCTTTTTATTTAAATCTCTTTTTTCTGTTGATTTTGGCAGGTAGCTAAGAAATCATCTAATAGATATCTTACATCCTATATAATTCCTTTTTTTATTATGTTCAATTAGCCAACATATAATATATCATTAGTTTCTGATCGCTTCATTAGTTGCATATAATACCCAGTGCTCATCACCTTTATAATTCTTAACCATAATACTTCAAATACCATACTACTTCCAAATACTAGAGCATCCATGACTTAGAGAATATGCATAAGAAATTTGAGTTTTGTGTAAATATGACTTTACTTGATCATGGAATACAAAGATTAACTATATATGTGCATATATACAATGGAGTATTAAGCCTCCATCAGAAAGGATGAATACCCAAATTCTGTATCAACATGGATGGGACTGGAAGAGATTATGCTGAGTGAAATAAGTCAAGCAGAGATAGTCAAGTATCATATGGTTTCACTTACTTGTGGAGCATAAGGAATAACACAGAGGACATTGGGTGAAGGAGAGAAGTGAGTTGGGGGAAATCGGAAGGGGAGACAAACCATGAGAGACTGTGGACTTTGAGAAACAAGCTGAGGGTTTTGGAGGGGAGGAGTGTGGGGAGTTGGGAGGGCCTGATGGTGGGTATTGTGAAGGGCACGTATTGCATGGAGCACTGGGTATGGTACATAAACAATGAATTCTGGAACACTGAAAAAATAAATTTTAAAAATTTTAAAAAATTTTAAAAAAATAAAATTTAAAAAAAAAAATGAAGACAATCAGAGCACCCACCCAAAAATAAATAAATAAATAAATATGTGAGCTATGGTTAAAGCAAAGTGATTTCCAGATACCTATATTAAAAACTTTTACCACTTAGGTAAGAGGTGGGGGAATTTAAAGCTTGACATGTATAGGGCTGTAAACAGGGCCACATCAAAATTCAGAGAGTAAAAGAAGGTTGTCAAGACATGATGTAATGTTAGATATAAAGATGAAATGTTAACTTCCTCAAAGATTTTTAATTAAGGATTTCAGTGTTATTTCTTAAATTATGAATTTTCTAATGAGATTTTTCTATACTTTTGACAGTTCTAGCAGAACAAGACAGTGCTGCTGCTCAACAGTATATCAGACAAGGAAGCCCCACAGCACTGAGAGCAGAATTATGGGCTCTCATTTTGAATATTTCCAGTCAACCGGAGGTAAGAAGAAAAAGGATGGGCCAAATTTGAGCTATTAATATTTATTTTTCAGTGACAAATTATTCAAAATAGAAATACTTTTGTTTTCTTTTTCTCTACTATGGTTTCTTAGTCTAATGTGTTCACTCCCTTTTTTTATTTTCAAAATCACTGTAGTTTTGAGTTCCAAGAAAAGATTAACAGAATTTAATCACTGTGTGCTTAACACAGAAGTTTTTGTTATTGATAATTAGTTGTATACTTTAAATGTAAAGCTACAAAAACCGGTAAATGAAATTGTAAGAAATGTAGTCCTCCAGTAGAGGTCAGTGAAGACATCTGGTAGAACTGTGTTGTTAGACTAAGGAGAAATAAAGAAGGACCACCCAGTACATGTAAATGAGCCCTTTCTCCCTACAGTTACTTTTGAAACATATTACTATTTTTATGGTTCTAAAAAGTGATATATGATATAGGAATATTATTTTTCTAAGTATAGGAACATTTTATTTTAGGAAATAAAATGAATATGAAGAGAAATCACCAACAGACTGGTAATAGATTCAATAAGGAAAAATTATATAAGATATTAATTCCTTTTGAAAAAAAATTTTCTTTTTTTTTTTTACTTTAAGCCCATTGATCAAATAATCCATCTACATAAAGATTTTAATAAATAAACTTATTAGTTTTTCCCTAGCCTCGGCCTTAAAAACATGGGTTTTGGAATCATATGGACCAGGTTTCAACTCCTAGCTTACTCAACTTATTTGAAATGAGCCATTGAGCAAGTTAAATTTCTTGAAACTTCAATTTACCCACACTTATATATAGGAAATAATATTTATATCATAGAGGGGTGGTGGTTAAGTGAAATGATGTATGTTAGTCTTTTAACACAGTGCCTGACACAAATAATCACCGTTAATGATAGTAATAAAATAATGCTTACATGTTGCATTTATTATGTTACAACTAATTATAATTTATAATGCAGTTAAGAAAATTAAATATTATTAATATTATAAAAACTACACCTCTGACTTTTGCAAATTATATATATACTTGTGCGCTTGTGTGTATATGTGTCTTTTAAATCTCCCTTCATGAACAGCACTGTCAAAAATTATTCTCTTCCTTTTTGAAAGAATAAACATTGTGATTTATTTCAGAGAAGTTTTGAAATAAGAAATGATATTGCTGATCTTTTGTGGTGACACTAGAAGTAACAGTTTACAGAATAGATGTTGAGCATATATTGGGCATTTTTTGTGAGTGTATCAACACTTGGAGAAAAGATGGTAACTCTTGTTCTGACCTAATGGTGTAGATGAACTCCCATGTTCCCTAATCAGGAGCTACAGTAAAAAAATCTGTCTCTCCAGAGGAACAAACTGCTGCTATTTAGAAACAAATTTAGAATTTTCCAGAAGTATCACTCTAGAATAAAAGTAGTAATCCTAGATAATGATTGTTTATTATAATATACAAAGGCAGTTTTTACACTTGAGTTTTGGAGCTAATGGTCATCCTAATTTTTAAATGTAAAATGGCAAGTTTATAAATAGAAATTAATATTATCAGAAAAACAGTTTTGATTTTACTGAATAAAACACTTTCTTTCACTTATACTTGTTTTCAGCTGTTAAAGTATGACCTCAACAAACTGGAACAGTTCCAAAATAATGGTTGTAGGTAATACATTAGAGGGTGAAGAGGGGGGGAAAGAGAGGGAGAATGGTTGCTTCTTAATAAGAATACTGATTCAGAACTTTTTGTTCAATTGCTTTTTAATCACTTAAAATAAGCTACACATACAAATGCATCATAATTAAGGAGTTAGATAAGTGGAATATTTCACATTTCACACCCATAAGGATATTTTTAAAAATCTTATCTCAACAGAAAGACTGGATATAATGGTTTAAGTTCCTAATAATTTATTTATTTCACTAGAACATTACTAACTTTGTTTCTCTTATCAAGAAAATATGTGATATGTTTAAAAGGATTGCTTTTATATTTTTTCTTTTATGCAAATCTCTAGGTATATATAAAAATATCTATATTTAATAAACATTATTCAAATTTTAAACTTTTTTGCTTAAGTTCAATTTGCTAATTAAAGAATGCAGAAAAATTTTTCTATACTTTGCTCTAAGTACTCCCTTACTGATAAAATAGCCAGGACTACTATTAATATTTAACATTTTCGGAGCACCTGGGTGCCTCAGTGGGTTAAAGCCTCTGCCTTAGGCTCAGGTCATGATCTCAGGGTCCTGGGATCGAGCCCCGCATCAGGCCTGCATCAGGCTCTCTGCTCAGCAGGGATCCTGCTTCCCCCTCTCTCTCTGCCTGCCTCTGCCTACTTGTGATCTCTGTCAAATAAATAAATAAAATCTTTAAAAATATATATTTAACATTTTCTTTAGTGAGTTCATAAAGTTCCCCAGAACCTTACACAAGTCCACAACTCCTGAGCTTCCTAGATTTTTCTCGTCAGCTCAATTAGTCTTCACAGTGCCTGTTTCTGACCTTCACTCTCCTCAGCACTTCTTTTTAGAGTCTTAGCAAAACACCTCACCTTCTCCTACCCAGAGAAAATAGAAATCATCCTAAGAAACTCATTCAGATTTCTTCTACCAAACCTGTAGACTTAACTGCATTAGCACCTGTTCATACCTCCTCTACTTTTATAGCTAACCCTTCTGAAAAAAAAGTCTATGATGGTGGCATCTACTTCCTTAAAATCATCAATTACTCAGTCTACCATAGTCCTGGCATACACCCCACTACATGACTATAACCACACTAGCTAAAGTCACCAAGAAACAGTGGACACATTTTTAGTCTTTACGTCTACTGCATTTGATACTCTTGCCTACTCTGCCCTTGAAATATTCTTGGTCTCTAATTTACTTTGCCCTGTTTTCTTAGTTCTTCAATTTCTTGTTCCCCTTTTTTCTGTCCCCATTTGAGTTCCTTTTTTAGATCTTAAGGGCTTGTATTTTTAAGAATTCCATTTTGGTCCTCTTTTCATTCTGGACATGTTTCTTGGACTGTCTCATCCACAAGTCATTTACTCCCTAATGGCTTTGACTCTGTGTTCAACCAAACTCTCTCATAAGCCTAAAACTTTTATTTCCAGTTGCCTACAGAACTCCAATATGTGGGGCCGCCTGGGTGTCTCAGTTGGTTAAGCATCTGCCTTTGGCTCAGGTCGTGATCTCAGGGTCCTCGAATGGAGCCCTGAGTCAGGCTCCCTGCTCAGTGGGAAGCCTGCTTGCCCCTCTTCCTCTGCTCCTCTCCCTGCTTGTCTTCTCTCTCTCAGATAAATAAGTAAAATCTTAAAAACAAAAACAAAACAAAACAAACAAACAAAAACCCACCAATATGTGTTCGGAAAGTATGCCAGACTCAAGATGTCTAAAAGAAAAGGCACAATCTTTACCTCGATGTGTTTGTGGTTTTTCAAGAGATGCTCTGTTGTTTCTCTTTGCACCAGGCAAAAAAACCTACTCAGACTTTTGTCTGCTTGGAGACTCCTACTCATTTTTCAAATACAGCTTATTCCATCCTCTTTTCTGGGAAGCTTTTCTAACATTCTCTCCTCTCCCTTGCCTTCTCCCGGTTCCATCACCATTACAGTTAGATACTTGTTTCTCTTTTCATAACCAGGGCAGGAGCAAAGGCCTAAAGACAGAGGAAAATGTACCGTACTTACTCTATTTGGCCGCAACTCTTTCTAAGTTGAGTGCCTGAGGACAGAGATTTTTTTTTTTTTCTCTTCACCATCTGTGAATGTCAGTATCTTGTACTGTGTCTAGATGTTTAATGAACTATATAAAATGTTAGGAATGTTCTTTGACCTCTTTCATTTCCTGAAAGTACATTTCCTTTTTTTCTTTAAAGAGGTAGTGTAAGTCTGCATAAAATACCAAACAAATATATTTTTAAATATTCTCTGATACTAAAAACTTGAGCTGCTTTGTTTTCAGAGATTGCTTTTTATAATTATAATTTATTACTCTTAAATATCTATATTACTGGAGCTTATACAAAACAATCTTTAAGAATATCCTGTTGTATTATTGGTAATCATTGCACTTTATAAATGCTTATATATTTTATAGACTAAAATTAAACTATCAATATAAAAATAATCCCTTAATCACCATCACATGTTATAATTTCAACTCTCCTACCCATGTTTTTCTTTCATTTTCTATGGATAAATTACACTAAAGGTTATTGAAACCAAATACCATAGACTGGAATTAGGAAGACTAGTTCACTCACTAGCCAGTTCTATAATGTTGGCTAAGGCAATTAACTTGACCACATCTCATTTTCTTAATGTGCAAATAAGACAAATGGACTAGATATTTCCAAGGTCCCTTCCAGGATTCAAATTGTCCAACATGTTTTTTTCTTCTAGAATTAAAAGTTGATTTTTGTCAGTAGCACCATTATATGTCAAGAGTTATAGATGTTGAGTTATTCACAGCATTCCGAAGATGTATTTCTTTATGGAAGCATACTTACTAAAATTAGAATTTTAAGGACTTTTATTAAAATATTTATTAGCTTTCTATCATTGGTCATGAAGTGTGTTTATTATTAATTTATAATAAAAGGCATTACAAATACAATTACAAATTGCTATTTAGGATAGCAATTAAAATTAAATTCCCTGTGGGAATTTCTGAATTATAGGCAATAATAGACTTATGAATATATGTTTGTAGTATATATTACCTAAAGAAATATTTTCTTTGATTTTACTTCACTTTTTTATGTTAATAAAAATGTAAACCCAAGATTTTAAAATAGCAAATTAAATAAATAATAATAAATTGAAATCACTCAGGGTGTCTTAGTGGCCCAGGTGGTTAAGCATCCAAGTCTTGGTTTCAGCTCTGGTTATGATCTCAAGGTTGTGAAATCAAGCCCTGCGTGGGGCTCTGCTCTCTGCACGGAGTCTGCTTGACATTCTTTTCCTCTCCCTCTGCCCCTCCCTT